CAGCCCTGCCACCAGGTGATGTTTCAGCTCAATCTTTCTGCAGTGCTTTACCACTTCACCCCTCTGTGATGAGGGAATCTATGGGCACAGGGAAACAGCTCTTCTCCTCCCAACGCCTCTCACACCTCTGCTTCCTCTCCTCCAAGCGCACTGACCCACAGCCCAAATCATCACGGTGCTTGATGTGATGTAGGAGCTGACACCGAGGATGACTCACCAAGACAGTCCTAGAGAGGAGGTGCTGGGGTGGGGTGAGCAGTTCTGTCTCTCACCCTTCTGATGGTGCACAATCATACCGCTTCTGTGACTCCAGTACACGAAATTTCTTGAGTTAGGGATGCCGGGAGCAAACTGTCTCATGGAAAGAGCAGAACCTCAGGCAGGGGAGTGATGGAAAAACTGGACAGTATTTTCCAAGATGTGATATCAGTGGAAAAGGGTAGGGATGAGTGCTGCCCATCGTCCATGCACAGAAATCCCAGGTTCACCAGCGAGGAGACCGTGGCCTTTCAACACTAGTCTTAGAGCAGCTTCATTTCCAGTGGGATGCCCAGAAGATGGTTTTTTTTTTTTAACTGCATGACTCCTGCTGACTAAGAGCTGTGTCACACCATTAAAAAAAACACTTTCTCTTTTCCTTCTTGTAACTTGCTAGAACGATGTTCAGGCAGCTCCTACAGCCCCTCCGAAATTTTGCTTGATGGTTGGCTCCCACTAGGGCAATATATGGTGTTTGCTTGTTGCTTCCCTCACCATCAGCTCGGTGAGGATACATCGGTATGGTCCTCTGTATCTCTGTGGCTTGGGGCGATGCGTGTGAGGCAAGGAGACCAGCCAAGGCAGGGCTTGGGAAAGAGGAGCAGCTCTCCTAATTAGCCCAGACAGGTGGCAAGCAAAGGGTCCTTCACTCGTTGCAGGCTCAGGTTGACGACTCAAGCCTTGCAGAGGAGCCCAGGCAGCTGAGGAGGTAGGGGCAGTGTGGGTCAGGAAGACATGACTGCAGCATGGGTGGGGGGGCTGCAGGCACAGCCGGGCTCCTTGGGCAGCATGGCTCAGGAAAGGGCAGAGATCACATCCAAGAAGGGCCTTTCCCAGGTAGGACAGGACCTTCCTTCCCTGCCTGTGCACCCAGTACATCAGGCACTGGCACCCTGGTCCCCTGGGCAGTGCACACCTCGCTGCGACGGGCCGCAGTGAGCGATGCAGCGTTAGACCGCAGTGGCTCCTACTGCGCCCTCGGAACAGGCATTGGATGCTTCTGTTCATAACATCTGGGCCACGGATGGAGACGAGGAGCAAGACCACCTAGGAGCCAGCCTCTGAGGAGAGCACCTCCCGAGCGGGGCTGTCCTCCTCCGCAAAGATGACGGTTGTTCCCACTTCACCCACGCACACGCACACCCGCTGCAGTCACCCTCGTGGCTCCT